AAAGTGATTAATAAAAGTTTGAGGAAAATCGGATATGAAATAAGAAAGCTATGAAATGTTCAAGTTTTAAACAAATTAAAATCGATCAAGAAAATCGGGAAATCTGTGATCATATAACAAACGATGTCTGGGGTTTCGAAAGTTATGCAACATGTATTGGTCGGGAATTATCTCAGGAAAACGAAAAATTATCTCAGGAAAACGAGAATTTATCTCAGGAAAACGAGAATTTATCTCAGGAAAACGGGAATTATCTCAGGAAAACGAAAAATTATCTCAGGAAAACGAGAATTTATCTCAGGAAAACGAGAATTTATCTCAGGAAAACGAAATATTATCTCAGGAAAACGAGAATTTATCTCAGGAAACCGAAAAATTATCTCAGGAAAACGAGAATTTATCTCAGGAAAACGAGAATTTATCTCAGGAAAACGAAATATTATCTCAGGAAAACGAGAATTTATCTCAGGAAAACGAAAAATTATCTCAGGAAAACGAGAATTTATCTCAGGAAAACGAAAAATTATCTCAGGAAAACGAGTATTTATCTCAGGAAAACGGGAATTATCTCAGGAAAACGAAATATTATCTCAGGAAAACGAGAATTTATCTCAGGAAAACGAAAAATTATCTCAGGAAAACGAGAATTTATCTCAGGAAAACGAAAATTTATCTCAGGAAAACGGGAATTATCTCAGGAAAACGAAAAATTATCTCAGGAAAACGAGAATTTATCTCAGGAAAACGAGAATTTATCTCAGGAAAACGAAAAATTATCTCAGGAAAACGAGAATTTATCTCAGGAAAACGAGAATTTATCTCAGGAAAACGGGAATTATCTCAGGAAAACGAAAAATTATCTCAGGAAAACGAGAATTTATCTCAGGAAAACGAAAAATTATCTCGGGAAAACGAGAATTTATCTCCGGAAAACGGGAATTATCTCAGGAAAACGAAATATTATCTCAGGAAAACGAAAAATTATCTCAGGAAAACGAGAATTTATCTCAGGAAAACGAGAATTTATCTCAGGAAAACGGGAATTATCTCAGGAAAACGAAAAATTATCTCAGGAAAACGAGAATTTATCTCAGGAAAACGAAAAATTATCTCAGGAAAACGAGAATTTATCTCAGGAAAACGAAAAATTATCTCAGGAAAACGAGAATTTATCTCAGGAAAACGAGAAAAAAAAAATTTCTCCATGTCAATTCCGGGGCTCCGTAGAAGAATACTTTCCTTCCACCAAAATTTGTTTTCAACAGAATGAATATTTTTGAAGAAAATGGAATTAACTCACTTTTTGAGGACCTCTCTTGCAGTAGTTTAGCGACGTATTTTCGTGGTTGACTTAAGTAACATCGACTAGCCTTGATCACAGAGCCCTTTGTTTAACCTAAAATTTATCAAGATCGATTCTAGCTAAATTTGATTCGATGAAACAGTTCACGAGCATCAGTTTAACTCTTTATGCGCCACTTAAAAAAACCCCCTGTGCCACATTCTTTTAGGGTCACACATTTCGAGGGAATCTTTATTGACTCTGCTGAATCAAGAGGCTATAACTCTTCACTGGATGATCATGATGAAAAATATTGTGCAGCAAAGTTGTAGACCGGAAAACGTGCTTTTCGATGAACCGTCATTTGTTATATTTTGAATTATCATTTTTATAATAATCATAATTATATAATGTTTAATTTTTCTTATTTACGGCAGTTTTTTATCCCTCTAGAATTTCTTATTTAGCAATGATAAGACATCTTCAAATCGAATCTATTAGAAAGGTGGACTTCTTACCTTTCTTTACATACCTTGCTCAAGTATTCTAACAATTCAGAAGGTTAGTATTTAGGTTGTTGAAGAAAAGAAGTTCAATAGGGAGAGACTTGAAAGTACCCCGCTCAGCCACCCTTGACAATGGGCTAATCTGCCCATTGAAATCCCTATTACCCCAGGTTATTGTCAATGTCCGGTTTAGCGGGGCATGAAAAGGGACGTCGTGGGGATGTTTTTCTTTGTTGTGCCATGATAAGTCAATAAGAAATAAGAGAATGTTATTGATTTTGCCCACTGGTATGAGCATGTAAAAATGGTATAGGCATAATATATTATATGTGATATACATGACATAATCAGCATCTTATTGAAATGTCTCATTATGAATGTTCACCGCATCTGTTCTCTCACCTTCTTTACCCCTCAATAAAATTGATTTCAAGTACATTTATCACAGCCATAGATATACAAAGAAAGAATGAATCAATCTTAAAATATAAACTATATTGCATTGTTTTCCATTTACTTTATTGTGAGAGAGCTTATTATCAGAAATGATTGACGAGTGGAGTATGCAATGAATAAAATATGGAGAACGTGAGAGACATTATGAGAGAGAAATAGTGATATGAAATGAAAGGACTTTACTGTGAATAAAGATTATAAGAGAAAGAGATAAAGATGACGGCAAGACAGGATACATATTGATACGAAAATAACAATAATAATGAGATAGAGATGACGGAAAGAAAGAGAGTAAACACTGATAGCATAAGAATGAATAAAGATAATAAGAGAAAGATATAGAGATGACGGCAAGACATAGGGTACATATAGATAGGAAAATGATAATAATAATAAGATAGAGATGACGGAAAGAAAGAGAGTAAACACTGATAGCATAAGAATGAATAAAGATAATAAGAGAAAGATATAGAGATGACGGCAAGACATAGGGTACATATAGATAGGAAAATGATAATAATAAAAAGATAGAGATGACGGAAAGAAAGAGAGTAAACACTGATAGCACAAGAATGAATAAAGATAATAAGAGAAATATATAGAGATGACGGCAAGACATAGGATACATATTGATAGGAAAATAATAATAATAATAAGATAGAGATGACGGCAAGAAAGAGAGTAAACACTGATAGCATAAGAATGAATAAAGATAATAAGAGAAAGATATACAGATGACGGCAAGACATAGGGTACATATAGATAGGAAAATGATAATAATAATAAGATAGAGATGACGGCAAGAAAGAGAGTAAACACTGATAGCATAAGAATGAATAAAGATAATAAGAGAAAGATATAGAGATGACGGCAAGACATAGGGTACATAATTATAGATAGGAAAATGATAATAATAATAAGATAGAGATGACGGAAAGAAAGAGAGTAAACACTGATAGCATAAGAATGAATAAAGATAATAAGAGAAAGATATAGAGATGACGGCAAGACATAGGGTACATATAGATAGGAAAATGATAATAATAATGAGATAGAGATGACGGCAAGAAAGAGAGTATTACACTCATAGCATAATAATGAATAAAGATAATAAGAAAAAGATATACAGATGACGGCAAGACATAGGGTACATATAGATAGGAAAATGATAATAATAATAAGATAGAGATGACGGAAAGAAAGAGAGTAAACACTGATAGCATAAGAATGAATAAAGATAATAAAAGAAAGATATAAAGATGACGGCAAGACAGGATACATCTTTCTTTCATTAGTTTTATTCATTCTTATTCTATCACTGTCTACTCTCTTTCTTGCTGTCATCTCTAGCTCTTTCATTAATTTTTATTCATTCTTATTCTATCAGTCTACTCTCTTTCTTGCTGTCATCTCTATCTCTTTCTTTCATTATTTTTATTCATTCTTATTCTATCACTGTCTACTCTCTTTCTTGCTGTCATCTCTATCTCCTTCTTTCATTTTTTTTATTCATTCTTATTCTATCAGTCTACTCTCTTTCTTGCTGTCATCTCTAGCTCTTTCATTAATTTTTATTCATTCTTATTCTATCAGTCTACTCTCAGGGAACACTTTTATCACTAGAGTCTTCGTCACTGCTCGATTCGTCGGAATCAGAGTCCATGCTCCATGCTTCCATAGTAACAAGATCTCGAGCCTCCTCTACACTAAACACACGTTGACGTTTTCCAGCAGGTGCCATCGTAACATCAGTAAAAAAAATCCAAAGAAAACCGCTAAATACACGGTAATTTCGAATGTAACACTATGAAGAAAAACAGTTTACCGGAAAGTGTGCGATGTATACAATGTAAACAATAGTAAACGCAACGCGTGGCTACACACTGCGAGCGGTATTATGAATGTCTAATTGACTCGTATACATCTGTGCAAAAATGCGAAGTTGGCACGCCTACGTCCGTGCAAATCGGCGAACAAAGCAAACAAAGAGTTAAAGGCAAAAGTGATTCAGCCTTTAATAAAAAAAAAAATATTTTCAAAGATATTCAGGCACGTAGCCACGGGGGGGGGGGGGCTTCGTTGAACTTTGTTAGACCCCTCCCAAAGACGTCGATCAATTACATGTAGATCTAGGTCTATGTGCCCCCCCCCCCCACATCAAACTCTGACTACGGGCCTGAAGATATTTAAAATCGAAAATAATTTTAGATAATGAATCAATTTCCCCTAGTTTGGCATTGTTTAAGCTTCGAAAATTCACTAATTATAAGTCGAATTATGGTCTAGAATGCTACGATATAATTGTAATACTTATAGATCTAATAATAATAATAATTCATGATAATGATAATTAATTTTATAAGGATAGAAAATCTATGGTTTGTATTTTAAGTCAACATGGACCCCGGGACATGGACTTACATTAATTTAGCTTCTTAATAATACATAGGCCTATTAGCCTACTGCATATTTTCTAGACCTAGGCCTAGATCTATTACAATTTTGGATTTTTAATACAGGCATTCAAATTATATTCATTGCTAGTGACTAGACCCTAGTCTACTTAAAAATTATAAAATAAGAATTGAGAGCGATAATCAAACAAAACCCATCTTAACTTTCAGTCAAAGACTTGGAAATTACACACACGTTTTAACCTTTGCATCTTTTCATGCATTTGTATCATTATGCTTTAGGGCCTACTACTGCAGAGTAACTGAATAGAATCATCTAGATCTAGTAGGATTTTAATCTATTTTATACACGATTTGAACAAGAACCTACCACAGCTTTGACATCGTCTTCACATGTCTGCAGCACTCGATGAGGTAAACCCAGTCTTCCTCATCTGCGCACTCATCTGCGCACTTCACCCAGTCCAGATCTAGCCGCTGCAGGTTCTTGGTTTGTTCTCTGATCAGAAGACCCAGTCCTCTCATCGTCTCTCTCGATACACGCCTCTTCTCTGATGGGAGTGTGAACGGTGCTGTAAGCTCGATGTGTGTGAGCTGCTGTCCTCCGGTCCGACGAAGACCAGCCGTGATCTGAGGTATGTCTCTCTCTGCATCATCGATAGTGATACCGATATCTATCAAGCCAGGAAGCGATGAGAGCAGACTTTCATAGCTTTGTGACGTCACTCTCTCGGCTGATAGCCTTGTGACGGATGGCAGCTCAGGAGGAGATGGGGGGAAATTGAGAGAGGAGTCTGAGATGGTGAGATGGTTCAGTGACGTGAAAGATCTGAGACAGGACCACATTCTGGCAGTCATCTCAGTAGATAGCCGACATTTCTTTACCTGCAGGACGGATAACAAAATACAGAGAGACTAGATTGTTACTTTCACGTAAATGCTATTATGCGAAACCGGGTACAGAATGAGACCCACCCCCCCCTTTTTTTTTTTGGATTAAAGCTTAACGGTGGACATTAAAAGAATAATGATAATACAGGGGCGGATCTAGCTTTTTGCTAAGGGGGGGGTTGACCAAAATAATGACGATGCGGAGCATCGTCCACGAGCCGCGAAGCGGCGAGCCGATTTTTTTTTGGGTGTTTATTTGAACCCCGTAAGTGATGTTTTCCTGGCATCTATTAACACAATGGAGACCATAAAAAGCAGTGCATGATAACGTCTTTTTAAATCAAGTAACAGTTAAATACACAGTTATATCCAGAGTTATCATGTGTTTGGTTAAGTTACCTGATGAGTTGAATATCTTCTCACAATATTTGCACTTGAAAGGGTTTCTCTCCAACGTGCGTTCTTTTTTCTTTTTTTTTTCCTTTTTTTTTTCTTTTTTTTTTTCCTTTTTTTTTTTTTTTTTTTTTTTGGGCCGCCCAAGGGGGGGGGGGGGGTTGCAACCCCCCAACCCCCCCCCCCCTGGATCCGCCACTGTAATATCAGTATACATGACCGGTAGGGCGCGCAGCGATCTCGGGAATATGATAACGAGGGAAAATATAACTCAATTTTTTTCCTCCTTTTTTAAAGTGTATTCTTTTAATCCAATAGCCTTGATTGTACTTCGGTAACATAAATTAATGGTAATTGTCATCTCATGCATTGTGGGTTTTTTCTCGAGCCGTCCAACCTAATAAGTGTCAAATGGGCGCTGCTGTGGCATTGCAACAATGAGTACGCGTATAGGGTTGTTTGGATAGGGTATGATGCAAAAAATACACTAATTTGACCATAATGTTCAATATAACCATCGACAACTGACCGAAAGAGAAATTATGCCAATTACAATCCTCACCATCGATATCACGTGACTAGCAGTGGCCCGATCACACCTTTGTATCTGTATTAGCTATTTGTGATTGTTTAACTTAAACAAAAAGTATGTTTTCGTTTTACGCGTCAGGCGCAAATTTTAAATTTCTTTCCTAAATATTTGTAGTCGTATATTATTAGTTAGATATTTGCTTACCTGGAAACCCGATTTTCGATCGTATTCGAAACATCTATCATTAAGAGATCTATAGTAATTGAAAAAGAGAGTTGAAAGTGAAGACAATAAAAACAACACAAAAACTATGGGAATTGTGTTGGGGGCAGTGGCGTATGCAAGATTCTTTTCAAGGGGAGGGTTTTAAAATTTGAAAATCGCGCCGATTTTTGTTGTTTAAACTTTAACAAATGTTATGGGGGTTTAGCCCCCCCCCCCCCCCCCCTTGGGGATTCATGAAATATCGGACACGGCCTGTGATTACCGTTTGAAACAAACATGCAGAAGGTCCTAGTTAGTGAATATGCATGTATATATATATATATATATATATACATAAGTATGATAATGAGATCAAATATAGCATGACAAACAATGGCAGGCGTTGTGAATAGTACCGTGGCAAATGCGAGTTGAAAGAAAATAACTGCCTACAAATGTGTAAATGTTTACATTGTCAGTATGGGATGCACATAGGTAGGGATATGAGAACAATATAATAATGATACTCCAAGACCCCCACAATACACACCTCCCGCGAGAAGGCCTAAGAGCTAGCTGGGGTGGATAAGAGGATTCCCATGGAAAATTATCGCATTGAATATTTTGATAGTATTTGCATGCCCTCTCCTTTCAGGTGGTAGCTCTAAGTTTCATCTTACCAATTTCAAATATATTTGTAATTTCCAGCAGTTTGTGTAGTGTGTTTAATTTTACGGATCTTGAATTGATAGTTCGTAATACGTGCAAAGATGTTAACATACAATTTGATGAAACAAAAGCACAAACAAACTAAAATATTATTCGCCTTTAGTAGTTTACAGTTTGACTTCCTGTTTGATTTTGTCTACTTTAATTTCATTGATAAATGTATGAACATCTACTCGATCTCACTGTAAATGCAGACTATCCAATGCTTTCAAAGTTGACGACTCGACAAGTTCAACCAAGTCTTCTTCGTCCAAGCACTTCACTCCGGGCAGACAAAGCCGCTGCAGGTCCTTGGTTTGTTTTCTGATAAGAAGACCCAGTCCTCTCATCGTCTCTCTCGATACACTCTGCTTCTCTGATGGGAGTGAGTCCGGTGCTGTAAGGTTGATGTGTGTGAGCTGCTGTCCTCCGGTCCGACGAAGACCAGCCGTGATCTGAGGTATGTCTCTCTCCGCATCATCGATAGTGATATCGATATCTCTCAAGCCAGGTAGCGATGAGAGCAGACCTTCGTAGCTTTGTGACGTCACTCTCTTGGCTGATAGCTTTGTGACTGGTGGAAGGTCAGGAGGAGATGGAGGGAAACTGAGAGAGGAGTCTGAGATGGTGAGATGGTTCAGTGAGGTGAAGGATCTGAGACAAGACCACAACGTTTTGGTTATCTCAGTAGATAGCTGGCAGTCATTGATTTTCAACGTGTCAACCTATGATGGCATACAAAAAGAGCATAATATAATAATTAGAAAACTACAAATAGTAATAAATTTCATTAAAGAAACATATCGTTCAAGGTTTTGAGAGGAAAGAAACGGCATCCGGGAACGGCATTGACAAAAAAACTTCATAGAATCCTAATCATCTGATCTCATCGATCGACACGCACTAAGAACTAGAACTGTTTCCAATCTTAGTTGATTTATTAGGTACAATCTTATATTTAAAACGTTTGGCTGATTTCATTATTATTTTTTATCTTTTTTCAATTTAGAATAGGCAAGATTTACACTATAATTGGGAAACGATATACCTGCTTTATGCATTTTTTGAACTGTACTTCGTTCCTTTCCACAACTTTCTTAGAGTTATAATTTTAAAATGCTACGCGGCCTATAGCCAACAAGCTATGTGTTTACCTTAGGCCCTTTAATATCCCCATTTTAATGTTTTTATTAGTTCTTAATTCACAACTAACTACAAGCAAACCAAAGTAATTTAATACATTTTATGTACTTATGTTTATTGCGAATACCTGTGTATTGTCAATATAATTATATTTCTAGCATAAAGGAATCTGACAATGTAAAACGTCAAGTGTGATATATGAATACATACCAAACTAAACTAAATTCATTATTTCAAAGAATATTATTTATGATAATCCAACTCCCTATTCGGTAGGAATTGTGAAATGCTTTCTGAAATATTAGGAAACAAATAAGGCGTATGGATATTTAAAATTAGAGCACACTTACATTCAATACATGTTTATCGGAGTTTAGCGACCCAGAAAACCTATATCATTTAAAAGAGAAATGAAGAAGTGGGGAGGGGGGGAACAAGCAGTAATTTTAAACATTTGTATTTAACAAATTACATAATAGAACCGATTTACATTTTTCAACAGTCAAACCATTTTCTTCTTAGGCTAACATCATTAATGATAAGATGATTTAGTTATTTGATTCTTTAAGATCTTTTTTAAATTATCCGCCTTGACATCTTTTTCAAAACGTTGAGAATAATGTGTATTAATTATGTTCAGCCTTGATACTGAAAGCAAGTTCTTCTTATCACCGTATTGAAACATAACAACAAGAAGCAAATTATTACATGACCTTTGTATTAACATAACACCAGTATCATCTTTGATACTCAATGAATCCTTTATTCAAGTTAAATCGGCTACAGTGGAAACTAATGGACTGGTTTAACACATCGACCTACCCAATGAAGTAAAAGGCCCATTTCAAAAATAGGGGAGGGGCGAACAAACTTTCAAGCAATTTAATTAACATAAAACAGTTACTCACTGTTCGACATACAGCCTAGCTGACATTAAACGCGTTGAAGACTGGACCACATCGAACACTGCATCCTCGAGTCCGAAAGCAACTCCGGACAACGTTGCCTGACGTTTTCTGATCAGAAGACCCAGTCCTTCCGTCCTCTGTCTTGACATGCTTGATACATTCTCTTCTGATTGGAGAGAAGAAAGGTCGATGCGTATGAGATCCTGACCTGTCAGATGTCGACGTAGACTAGTCTGGATCTGAGATATGTCTTCTGCCTTTGCATCTCCGATAGTGATATCGATCTCTTCCAAGCAAGGAAGCGACGAGAGCAGACCATTATAGCTTTGTGACGTCACTCTCTCGGCTGATAGCTTTGTGACGGATGGAAGCTCTGGAGGAGATGAAGGGAAACTGAGAGAGGAGTCTGAGATGGTGAGAAGACGTAGCTCCGAAAATGATCCCATGCAGGACCATAGTCCATTCGTCACGTCGGTAGTTAAAGTAGATCCCTCGAACTTTATAGTCATAACCTATTGTAATTATAAAAAGATAGGGAGATTTAAAGAGAGCTTAATATACGAATTAAATAACATTAATTTCTTGATCTCTTTTTTTTCTCTAAATGAATAGACCCTACGACCTTTGTATTTTGTTACTATTTTATTTCAAATTATTGTTCTTGTTTCAGTTATGCGGTACCTTGATTGAGGCCGCAGTTGGGAAAACATAGAATGACAATGACTATGTATCATACATATTGATCGTTGTATCATGCAGTATGATTCATCACGATGCAATTAATTGTGAATAAGAATACATTTACAACAATATATTAGCTATTTGAGTTATAGTTGCAGCAGATATGATTATTGTAAACATATTTTGTGAAATGGAACTATGCATACCTGAAATTTAAGTTCTTTTGGAAGATTTTGCATCCCAACGACGGTGTAGACAGTCGGTGACTTTAGAACAATACTCTCTGCATTCACACATCTTTCAACCAACGAAGACACATTTCGTTGAGTACCCTTGGTTTCTGATGAACAGTCAAGGAGAATGCGATATCGCTCGCTTTCGTCCAAAAAGTTGTTTTTAAGAAGCGCCTTCATTATTTGTATACAGAGGCTGTTGTCCGTGCCAGCAGCGAACCGGATAAGATTCTCGTAGTCGCCGATGTTTGGTTTGATTTCATTCAGTACTCTGTCCAGTTTGGAAATCTTCAAACGTAACAGAAAGCGGTGTGTTTGATCAGCGAGGAATTTCCCAGCCGAGTGTTCTTGCGCGAGTTTGTGATAAAACTCAATGGTAGTGGAAGTGGTTTCGATTGACTGAGGAAGGCATGGGATGTTAACAGTCGTCTTGGATACTATCCCGAGCTCACATGCGCTAGTAAGGGTTGCGGGGCCTTTACGGAAATCATGAGGTGTGAAGACTAGTTTTGTAGCATCGTCGAGCAGACCAGTTAGGGCAACTTCGCCTAATTGATTAATTATTTTCTTTAATTTTTTTCGAGTGATTTTCACTCTTGACTTTGATCGTTCGTTTGCATAGTGCATTAGAAAAATATTCATCTTGTCAAGCAAATCTGTTTGAGTTGTAGTTTCACTGTCCAGTAGGCCCTCGTTCCATAAGTGACAGATCATGAGACAAAATAGGGGTGTCTTGACAAGTTCATCAATTAGTGGTTGTTCATCAAGGTAATCCTTCAGACTTTGTCCCTTACAAGGATTCAAAGTCAAAGCAAAGAACTTGTTGATGTACTCGCACGAGCTGTCTCGCGAGAATCCTTCGATCCACATCTTTGTGTATATCCTTGGGAGATCATCTTGATCGAAGAAGTTCTCTAAGTGAGGACGTGTTGTTACTAGGACTCGACACTCTGGAAATTCCTCCAAACATATGACCTTGACAATATTGCTCTCTGAGCTTCGCTGTGAAGAAGAAATACCTGCATATTCATCTAGTCCGTCTAGTATTATGTGGCATATGCCCTGATTCTTTCTGATGAAATTCTCTAGACCCTCCGGTGTGAGATCTTGAACATCACTCAAAAGCTGGGATTTGATGGCTTCACCGATCGATGTAAGCTGATTTGTGTTTCGGAATTTCACAACAAACAACAGTGGCAGGTGTTCTAATGCTGACCCCTTTTCTCTATGAACCCAGTCATGAGCCATCTTAGCAACAGCCGTGGTCTTCCCTCGTCCAGCGGGAGCCGAAATGAGGATTCGAGCTGGCAGTCTGCCGTTTACTTTCGTTGAAAATATTTCAGCAACAGAATTCTGGAGTATTTCCTTATTTTTCTTGTCTTTTCCATGAGCGTCCTTCTTCACCATTGTGACAATCGTGTGCATTTCTTTGAGCTCAGCATAGTCATTGCGATCCCATGGCTTCATTTGAATTTTGCACAGTTGATCTAGGTACTTGTTCTCCAACTTTTTGCGACATTGCTGAACAGTAA